ATAATAATATGTAAGTAATTATCTCAATGTCGTTTCATGAAGCATTAGAGTTTACCAATCAACAAAGAAAGGATGAAGTTTTGGAGCATCATATGACTATCCATAATATGGTTAATCTGGCTAGCAAAAAACGACATCATATTCAACCTCAACAAGATCTCATTTCAACAAATCGTAGAGACTTCAAAGGAGGTAAAATCATGGATTCGAGGCAAATGCGAACATATAGTAATGTCATAATCTGAATGAATCTGTAATCCATGTGAATGTTTAAATTCTTATTACTCCTAAAAGTTTTTGCTGTAATTATGTGATTATTTGATTCTTCTTTATAAATCTTGTAACAATTTTAGTTATTAAAAAAATAATTATCCAACTTGCATAAACTTCTATGTAAATTTTTTTTAACTACTACGAAACTGAAAAGTAATGAAAAAATATAATGCTTCAGAGATCTGTTAAATTAAGGAATTTTTACAATATATGTTAAAATATATATCTCAATACGTGAAAAACACTAATTTTAGAATTTTTCATTACTTATATTAACTAAAAAAGTACAATTTTATCATGTTGGAAATATAATCTAACACTTCCTTATAAATGAAAAGAATGTGCATAATAAAAGAAATTGGAGATCACAAAATTCAATTTTGGAAAAAATGAACCGCTATGAATCCAAAAAATAAAGAAAGTATGAATCGCTATGAACCCAAAAAAGAAAGAACACATATCTTCACTATATGGGTGTGTATACATAAATAGGAGGTAATAGTAGAGTAGTGATACCCTAATTATCTTAACCCTTTTCTTTCATTCTTTTATTTTGCTTTCTTTAGTAATTTGTCTTTAGAAAACAAGTGAAGTTTAGTTTTCATGGGTCGTAGAAAGATTGAGATTAAGTTGGTGAAAGACAACAACACAAGACAAGTAACATTCTCAAAACGTAGAACAGGTTTATTCAAAAAAGCAAATGAATTATCCATTTTGTGTGGTGTTGAAATTGCCATTATTGTCTTCTCACCAGGTAATAGACCTTACTCTTTTGGGCACCCTGATGTTGATGTTGTTGTAGCCAAGTTTCTTCAACAAGAGCCTAAATCAAATGGGGTACGAGGTTGTTCTTCAAACTTGGATAAACTGCACCAACAACTTGGTAATGTTATGGAACAATTACGTGAAGTTGAAGAGAAAAGTGAGGTTCTTGATGAAACCCTAAATCAATACAAGTATGAATTTGAGGAGCTTCAAGAACTGCATGATTTATTAGTAGAGTTTAAGGATGATGTAAAGCAACGTGTTGAAGAAATGGAAGTGGTGGAAACTATGTTAATGCTTAAAGAACAACGTGTGGATTTTGAAGAAAATCATGTTCCTAATAAGAGAATAAGAAAAGATTGAAGTTTTTGTAGAATCCTTGTTACCCTTATCAAAAAATAGTAATAGTGATGAATAAAGTGTTTTGTTATGTTGAATTTCTAAAATTTATGTTGAAAAAATAATCAGTTTTTTTTTACATTTTCTTGTCCAATTTGTTACACTTAATTAATTATATATAAATTTGTGAACTGAAACTATACCATCACAAGCATAGAGAAATGTGTTCATAGTTCATTTGGGTCTTATATTGTTTATTTGTTACAAAGAAATCGAAGATAACTTCCTAACATAACCATTCCCACTTATTTGGCATGGAGATACTTATGTGACACACTACTAGAATTTCAATCTCAATACTCATAAGTGGGATCTTTTACTACACAAACATATATTTGAAATATATTAGAGAATAAAATTTATGCGATGATAGTGTATGAATTTTATATATTGACAATGTATCATTTATCATTCATATTCAATAATCATCTACTCTTCAAAAAAAAAAAATACAAATAAATGATGAATTATAAATAATATATTGATTGTTACACTTTTTTACAGCAACATTCCATTGATATTACACTCAATATATTATAGGACATATCATTTGGAAGGTGAAGATATATTCACTTTTTGATTTTTTTTGGTATTAGATACATTTTGGTAAAAAACTAATTTCTTTTGAAATGCGTGATTGTCTCCCAATATTAATATTAACTTTTAATTTAAAATACTTGTTAAAATTCCCAATCACTAGTGATTCAAGAGTGAATATACATTTTAGAAAGATTCTCCCATTAAATTTTTGGTATGACCAAATATTCTTATGTATGAATAAGAAACTGATTATTTTTAGAGGTTTTGTAACATTAATAAATTTTATTAGATAACTCGATCATCACCTTAAAATTTGATTCTTAAAACAATATATCACTCCATTCGGTGTAATATTACAGCACCTCATAATTTATTAGAATTCATATGTGATGATATGACATGATACATAAGGATTGAAACAAAAATAGCACTTAAAAAAATTAGTTATAGGCCTAAATGAATTGAATCTACTTTAACAAAGATATTTAAGCCCAAATTAGTCCATGAACACTATAAACAAAAAAGAATTCTTTTTGTGAAAATATATTAAATATGTTATATTTGAAAACAATTATATTTTATTTTGTAGTATTATCCTGAACAATTATTTTAGACTAAATTTTAATTAAAATAATTTTTTAATATATTTTATTGATTATCTCTATAGAAACATTTACACACAATTTTTTCCCTTCATTAAACATGGTGAATATATCTAATTAAATTTCAACAACACAAAACAATTTGATGACAAGACCCTAAATTAATTATGAGAAGTGAAAAAAGTCATTGCTCTGCAACGACGTCGTCTAGAGAAGTTTGGTATTTCTTGAAGTGTTGATTCTCCTTTTCACGCCCTAATTTTATTGTTGTTCCTTCGTTCTTCACATTCTCTCTCACTCTCAATCATCAACCATGACAAAACAGCACGCTAATTGGTCCCCTTATGATAACAATGGAGGGTACTATTTTCATCTTTCTCTTTATACCATTTCCTCACTCATCAATTAGTTTTCGTCTTTTTTATTCTTAATAATTTGTTTTTTCTTTCTTTCTTTCTGTTTTTGATAGATCTTGTGTTGCAATTGCTGGATCGGATTATTGTGTAATCGCAGCGGATACGAGGTTGTCCACTGGTTACAACATCCTCACTCGCGATTACTCCAAAATCTCTCAATTGTATGTTTTAGGTTACAATTTTCAGTTTATGTTTTTTGCTCTGATTCTTAATATATATGATAAGGGATGATAGAATTGTAGTACGTAATCTTCATGTAGTTGATTAACTCGTAGAGACATTGTTATTACTTAGTAACAAATCATAATTTGTTCATAGAGAATTTTCAGATTAAAATTTGGGTTATTAAGAGGAAAGCTTTATCCTTTAGAACCTATTTGCTTGTTTTATTTAAATAGCATTGTAGTATTTGCATATTATTTGGTTAGGTTTTACTTAGAAGTTAGAAGCAGAAGCTGAAAGTTAGCATTTATGATAAGCTGTTTTTCCAGTTTGGAAAAAAGCACCTGGAGGAGAGAGAATAAGTAAAAAGACTTGTTACTTCTGTTGCAAAATGAAAAACAGCTTCTGATTTGTATAGAAGCTATACAACTAAAATCCTTTTTTAGAATATTTTAGAATCAATTTTTTTCGAGGCGTAAACAAATGGGTACTTAAGTGATAAGGAAGAAGGGAAAAGTTAATTCTTTTTTGTCACAAGTTTATGTTCTGATAATACCTGTTTCATGTTCGAATTTCAGGGCTGAGAAATCTGTGATGGCCTCTTCTGGTTTTCAAGCTGATGTCAAAGCTTTGCAAAAGCAATTGTCTGCTAGGCATTTGGTGAGTCCGAACTTGAGCTATGCAACTGAAGTCGAATACTATTTAACTTGTAAAACCTTCTGGCAAGCCTAGCAGTTTAGCAATTACATTCTATGTTTCAGCTCTTAGTATCTGTTCTGCCAGGAAGTTTCTCACTATTTGTTATTTGCTTTTTAGATCGTTAGATATTTATGTTCTTATTAAGTTCTAAGACAGAACTTTGCATTGTTCCTGTTTGTTTTCAACATCCTTATGAGTAAAATAACTTTCTTAAATCATCCGAGTTGAATCAGTTTATTGCAACTACTTGTATTGCATCAACTTAAATTGATTTGAAGATCGTAGGTAGCACTTTTTCTATTGTAGTGGGAAAGAGGCATTGTTCTTTTCTGCACATGCTGTTCTATATTCTGAATGGTGAACTAAAATGTTGAGGAAGATAATTAACATGGTTGAAAATAAATGTTTATGCTGAGTTCTTGGTATGTTTTTTTGTTATTAGACTTTCTAGTGATAAAGCTTCAACTCTTTTATCAATGTGTATGTTTCCTGATTAATTGTATTTCTAGATGCTGGCTTTAAATCTGGAGAAACTGTAGTTTTGAACCAAAATCATTCTGCACCTTTGGTAACTATCGTTTAGGTTTATCATGACACAGAAAATGGGAACCTCTGGTGGAATCATTATGTAAATATGTCATCTTTTTTACTTTGCAGATATATCAGCATCAACATAACAAGCAAATGAGCTGCCCGGCGATGGCTCAGTTGCTTTCAAACACTCTTTATTACAAACGCTTCTTTCCTTATTATGCTTTCAATGTTTTGGGTGGCCTTGACAATGAAGGTACACACGTTAACTTTAGCATCATATGCTTGTTCATGTCCAACTTTTTTATTTGCTAATAGCTACATAAATCTGAAATAGGAAAGGGATGTGTCTTCACATACGATGCTGTCGGCTCCTACGAGAGGGTTGGATATAGCTCTCAGGGTTCTGGTTCCACACTCATTATGCCGTTTTTGGATAACCAACTGAAATCTCCTAGTCCACTCCTATTACCTGCACAGGTGAAGCTCTCAAATTGGTTCTATGCTTGAAATATTTGATTGTGAAAATTTCATTTGACACACCTACATTAAAAATGACATTTCACAGGATGCTGTTACTCCACTGTCTGAAGCAGAAGCAATTGCTTTGGTCAAAACTGTTTTTGCATCTGCAACTGAGAGAGATATATACACTGTAAGTTTGTTGTTAAATGTGTAATTTCTATTTGATGTGAGGATAAACTTATAAATTATTGTGTATTTTTTTCACAGGGAGATAAGCTTGAAGTTGTCACCCTAAATGCCAGTGGTATTCATCGTGAATACATGGACCTAAGGAGAGATTGATGCCTTACAGAAAAATGTAATTGTTGGAGGTGCTAGGCTGGGATTGAAGATGTTTTGAAGTACGCCTAGAAATGAAACTATGAATATTGTTTCTAGTGAAGGCAATTTGAACAAGTCTCTTTTCACCTTATAACTTCACTGTGCTTTCAATTTAAATATGCACTTGAACAAGTATCTTTTACTGTTTGTTATCTCAAGCGAAATATACTTTCTGCTCTGCTACTAGTTTTTATATTATATGCTACCAAATTTAATAAGTATTCATTTCAATTAACACGGATATATAATAAAGAAATAGACTAAAGAATGAACTTGGGAGAAATCTGGTATGGTATCTCCATTCCATTTCAACCGGTGAATTGTAAGTTGATAGCCTAATACAAAATTATTCAAGATTAGCAGTAGTTAAGGTTGCTATGCTGAAGTTACTTATATCGTGTCTTGAGATGACGTTCCTTTCTAAACATTCATGATTCATGTTTCTTCAGGAATAAGTGTTCTAACTTTTTCCATGCCCAGTAAAATGTCAACTTTATTATTGAACTAACTGAAAATCTGAAATTATGTTCAGTGAAGCTATTAATTTAGAGTAGAAGTTATTATTAATTGAGACTTAAAGTAAATTAGTGATATAGAACTTTGATAGAAAATGTCATACATATGATTTAGTAGTGAAATTTACCTTGATTCTTTTCCCACTCAAGCCTCGACATCATATACTGACTGTTCCTACATGAGAAGGGAGAGGGATTAGAGCTAGTTATTAACACCATCTAATTGTGTAAAATAGTCATTTTTCTTCATGATAATGAGTTGAGTTTTGGAGGAGAATGAAGAGAAATGGAAGACTTCAGAGTCATGAAACACACTCGTGAAATGAGGAGCCTTCTTTTTCACCTTTAAAACTCAACTCGCAAAAGGACTCTAGTTGGTTTTGGAGAGAAATGAAGGAAAAAGAAAGAGTTCATGACCATGAAATATACTTGTGACATGTCATCTTCCGTTTATCTTCACTCTAAAACTCAACTCTCAAATCCACCTTAAACATTAACTAGGAAACACATATACTTGACATAGTTATAAGTACACAAAGAATACACATGCAATATGATCCGGCACGTGACACAACATTAAAATGGTTCTTTAAGTGCATTATTCAACTTTGGCATCACTCCTTTTTGTCTGGTGTTGTTGTTTTTATTTGTAAAATTATTCGGCAATGGTGTTAGATTCACTAAAATGATTTTTAGTGCAAGAATTTGAACAAAATGACACCATGATTTATCATCTATTCGTTGTAGTCCAATAAAATTTAGGTTTTGGTGGGACCCCAATGCAAGGACAAGCTAGAGGGGAACAAAAGTAAAAAAAATAGTCAATGAGTGCACCACTTTCACCGACCAATGTTCAATCATAACGTCAATGTTTAACAATGGTTGCACTACTTTCACATGGCGCAGTTACTTTTTCTTTTTCCCTACTCGACCAAACAAAAATATAAAATAAAACGTAATAATGAGTTAGTGAAACTTTATTCATATTCTCATGTGATAAAGTCATTTCAAAATAAAGATGAATAAATAAACAATAAACTTTACTGCAAGATATATATTGAAAATCCTCAAATTTTGGTACTTGCGTTTCCTGAATTCAAACAATCAATTTCACATCAAGTACTAATGGTCACATGTTTTTTAAACAATCAAATTTTGACTGAACATGTTTTTTTAACAAGAAATAATTTATCGAGAAGAGATTCACTTACTTTAAAAGTAAGTTTTTAAACTTATTTCATATCTTACATATCAATTTTATAAAATCTAATAGTTTAAATTTATTCATTAATTTAAATCATTAGATTTCCCTAAAATTGATGTCCAAAATATGGACCAAGTTTTTTAAACTTATTTGAGTAAGTGGATCTCATCGCTAATTTATCTTCCTACAAATCCTTTTCAACCGTAAGAAAAGTTACATGTGTCATATGATACATTGTTTATTAATGATTAATTTATCAGTGACATATGTTATTTTCTTATAATGTAGAAGGATTTTTATACTAGGATATATCATAAATCTTTTAACATAAGGTTGGGGTTGGGAGAGGAATGAAGCAAAATGAAATGCTCCAGAACACCAAACAAACAAGTATATTTCTTGGCTCACAAGTTTTTCATTTCCCTTTCTTCCCCTCGAAAACACAACTCACAAAAGAAGCCTTTTATGTTATGATTTACACATGACCTGAACATAATGGAGTAAAGTAATTTTCCCATAGAAAAAGATGAAAGAATGAAGTTGGAGAAAATCTCATTTTAATCAAAGATATATTTCAAAGTCTGGTACAGAATTATTGAAGGTTACATAGCATGAGAAAACATGCAGCAATAGTGGCAATGTGGAACTGGTTACTCTGTTGCTAATGCTGATATGATTTCTGCATAAGTCTCTTATATTGTGTCTTGTGATGCCCATCCTTTTTTCTCCAACACTAGTCTCAATGTCTGCCAACAATACAACATGATTTCAATTCATCATATAATAATAGGAAATAGAAGGAACAAACAGAAGGAAGAATGGTGAAATCTTACCTTGATTCTTTTTCTATTCACATCAAAATCAAAGTTCCCCATTCGGGACGCAGATCGATATTCCACCCTTGAATCCTTACCCGGTGGAAACCAGAACTCAACATCATCTACAAACTGTACAAAATGGTGATTTTTCTTATGCATAATTGAAAACTGTAAGAATATTCAGAATAACATAGCCATCTTGAAGCCCAGAATTAAATTTTGAATTAGACGTGTATCAAACAAGCATTAGTTTCCGACCCACAACGCAACATCGAAATGGTGGTTTCTTGCTTTATAGGATATCAGAAAACATACCCCCAAGATTGAGCTTTGGTACTCTACTCGGATATAGTCTTCTTTCCTTTCAACTATTTGTGGAGTAAATTTATCCGGTGTTGTTGTTTCTATCTGTAAAATCACCCAGAACTGATTTTAGCTTTTACTAAAATGACATGAAAAGTTAACATACCAAAAATCGGGACACGACAACTAGTACAATCGAGTGGCAAGACTCATTATGTCAATTTAGATTTATTACCACTTCTATCAGTTCCTCCATTGCCTCTTCTCTGCTCACAGGATTCTTCCTTCCTTCAGGGTTATAAGTCCTGTAGAAGAATTTGAATTAAGTGATACCATGATTCATCTAGTATTCATTGTTTGTCAAATAAAATTTAGGTTGTAGTGAAACCATGCGAGACTTACTTCCCGACATGCCCCCTCCACATAAGATTTCATCTCAAAACCAATTGGCAATCAGAGGAGTAGCCCAACAGGTATTTAAATCATTCCCGAGACAATAAGATAGGCGATGTGAGACTTAATTCCCAACACTAACCAATGTTTAATTATGATTTATTAGTCAATGTTCAGCAATCAACAACCCAATCAACCAATGGTTTTCACTACTTTCACATGGTTCAAAGCGTGATAAATTATTCCAAGTGCAACATTGCAACGTGATTCACATTGATAGCATATGCCATACAGGAAAGTGAATATTCTGTCAGTGTCACACTGTCATGTGAGTTTTTCATATGATAGGGTAATGTAAAGAAAGAATTACAACAACAATGAAGCCTTAGTCCGCTGGTGGGGTCGGCTACATAAAACGAACGATATCATAATATTCTATCATAATTGACACTCATTGACACAATAGTCTCTAAATCTTTCATAATAGTTTCGCCAATAGTTTTTCTTGGTCTTCCTCTTTCTCTAGAAAGTAAACTAGCTTCCATTTGAACTACTCTCATTGTTAATAATTCGAACGGTCTCTTCCACATACGTCCAAACCACTTAACGAGCTAGCAAAACTAAGTAAGTGAATATACACACATATATATAATGAGTGATGATATATTCTCCTACTAAATCCTCATACAAATCAAACGCTTAACAACCGCTAGCAAAACTATGTAAGTGAATATATACACATACATATAATGAGTAATGATATGTTTTCTTACTAAATTCTCATACCCACAAAAAAGTGACATCTATCAATTATAAACCAATTATTAATAAACCAAAGTATCAATTTGCGACACATGTAACTTTCTTGTGAGTACGTGGATTTAGTAACACTATATATCATTTTACATATATAATATAATGAATAGCACTGTAGCTAATTCATATAATCCAAGAAAAGCAAGTTTAACAATGAACAAAAGAAAAAGAATGAAACTTTACCATGGAGGAGCATAGTGAGCAAGATCATTGATATTTTCAGAGGTTGATATACAGTTCTTAGTTGAAGGACACAAAGCTAATGCTGGTGGGTTTTTCTGCACTCCAAGATATTCAGGCTTTTTCCCACTTTATCAAACACAAACACAAACACAAAAATCAAACCAAGTTCTTTTCATTCCCCCATTTCCAATTTCAATTTTTTTCAATTACATATCACTCATAAAGTAACTAATTGCATCAAATCTTAACTAAAAACAAAAAAATGAAATTTAATATATAAAAAATAAAAATTCTAAGTTGAGTAATAAGTATACCTGAGATTGAAGATGGCAGCAATGGTTGCTAATTCGCTGGTTCTCAATATAAGCTCTCTTAAAAAAAACAAAATAAAATGGAAGTGTGAGAGAGTTAAGAAGATGGGGTATGAATATAAATAGTTATAGTTAAATGGGTAGCTGAATAAGTGAGAACCTTCGGTTAATTTGGTGAGTGGGATTATGGTGCTGGTTCTGAGAGAGAAGGATGCGAGGAAGAGAATAAGTGGTGTTGGGTTTGGTGTGAAATTTGAGGTTGGAGAAGGTGCTTGAATATGCCATTGAAGCCATTGAAGAAGAATGTGGGAAAGCAAAGATGAGAGAGCAATATCACAATAACAAATGAGAAATAAACAACAAGTTGGTAAGAAGGATTCATATTATCTCAATTTATGTCGTCATGTGTCGAACTAATCATATTTTATAATATAAAAAATATTATTTTTTATTTTTATGATGTTTATTTTAATTAGTTGATATTTTTTTATTTAATTGTAATACAAACAATAAAACATGTCATCTTGATTGAGAATTACTAAAATGTATCTAGTGAGAAATGTAAAAGTATATGAGAGTGATAGAATTAATTATTTGCCTTTAGATTAAAATTAAAGATTTGTATTACATATCACTTTTAAAAAACTCATGTAACTTATCATTTCCATTTTCATCGGCATTACAATCTTTTCATTAGGGATGGCAATATGGGCTTGGTCCGACGGGTCAGTCCGTTTTGATCGACATTTTTGGCGGGCCGGACTGGAGATTTTTACCCCAAAAGCCCATATTCAATGCGGTTTGGAAGCCCGTTTTTTAGACGGGCCAATGCGGGTCGGGCTGGCCCGACGGGCCAACATTAATATTGATTTACCATTTTAAGGTTACATGTATTCCAATAATGTAGTCAATTTAATATTGTTTTTCAACCGAAAATTTTACACTAATCGTGTGCAGCTAATTTATTATTCATATATAATACATTTATAAGTAAATTACTTATCAATGGAATTTATATCATATATAATACAAGATATTTATATATCAGTGTTTAATTTATATCATATATCATATTTTGTTTAACTTAATTACATTTATCACATTTTTGTTTAAAAAATTACACCTCTCATACATGGTTGATCAATGTAATGTATGTTTATAAATTAAGAGTTTTTTGTAAGTGTATAAAATGGAAGGATAATTTGTGTAATTTCACTAAAACTCGGGGAATATCAGTGTAATTTAAATGTGTTTTTGAAAAAGAAAAGAAAAACGGATGAGCATGTTGGCCTGCCAGCCCTGTTAAATATGAGACGAGCTGACATTTTGAGCCATTTTAGTAATAAGGATCGGGCCAACCCAACCCATATTTTGTCGGGCCAAAGACGGGCCGAACTAGCCCGTTTTGTCACCCCTACTTTTCATCTTCATTCTATAATTAAGCCAAGATGGAAGCAAATCTCTCCTCTGTCCCCATAAAATTACTTTTCCTTCGGTTGCTTCTTCATTTTTTTAGCTATTAACTCTAACAACCAAACCTCCATAATCTTTAATTATGGAATCTCTTCATCAATTTTTTGTTTTCAGTGGAACTTCCTCGTTCTTTATTCCCTTTGTCTAGTTTGAATTGTCCTCAAATTTATTCTCAATTTTTTCGGTGTATATTAAGACTATCCACCATATGTTTGTCATAATGTTTCAATGGGTAAATGGAATGTTTTTTATGTAATACTATTGTTTGGGTTATATGAATACTTGAATTTGTTAAGGAGTGAGTAAATGAAAACTTAACTAGATTAAAGGTTAAAAAGATTTAGGGAAATAATACAAATGTCATGTGAGTTTTTAAAATGAGATCTTAATATTAGTCCTTGATTTTAATCTAAAAAGTTGATAATTAATCATCTCACTCTAATAACTCTATCTT